AAATATGTGGTTGTTTAGTAAAATTTAAAGATCTGGTTAAATATATATATATGCTTAAACAAATAAAAATTAAAATATAAAGTAAAATATAAACAATTATAACGGCCTCCTTTATTACTGCCTAATTTAAATGTGACCCATAGTAGTAAAAAGGTTTCCCACCTCTGTACTATTGTTTAAAACTAGAGAGGCTATATGTAGGTATAAACACAATTTCAGAGGCCAACGATTCCGTCCATTTGTCCCATAATCAAGGAGCCCTGTGAGACGAATAATTGGCTTGGCTCGTTCCCACGGGCTCATCGTCGACTGAACTGTCCCATGAAGCGTAACCTAATAACCATCGACCCTTACCCTTATTAAAGGTGTACATTTATTTACAGTTCATTACGTCGTGACCTAATCCATGAACAATCACGAAAATTGTAGGAAAATTTAAAAGATCGAAGTGAAATACCCTGCGAGAATTATTTCAAATATTTCAGTTCACCAGATATACATGAAAAATGTATAAAGACGATGCGAGTGATTAGATAAAGTACGACACAGTAAAACGGAGCCAGGCTAACAATTCTCCAAATGAAAATTAATTACGTTCATTTATGAAATCACTCAGTTCCGTAAACTAGTTTGTCAAACGGACGTGGCACGACGTTACGCAAATAAAAAATCATCGAATGGCCGGCGATCGGTCTTGTTAAATGCAGTCGACCTTAACAATGTCAGCAAAACGAGTGCGACGGTAGAGCGTCAAGGTCGGCGCGGAGTAATTATATCGGGAATCGTCCTCATCGCCACCAGATCGATGCATCTAACTTTTCACGAATGGCCACAATAGTGCAGAACGTCAACCGATGAATTTTATTGTCATCTCTGTCTCTACTTATTAACTACTCCAGTCTAATGACATCTACTTTAGACACGCGTTGAATACATTTTCGTTTTTGACATTAAAATTACCACCAGAAGAATGTTCTTAAACGAGGATAAAATGTCTCGTCCTACTCATAGAATTGTAGAAATGATGTAATTTATCTCTGCCATTTATTAATACTACAAAGTACTGATTTATCGGGGACACTCTTGTGTGTTCTTAGCCCAAATTCACGGGTTCACTAATAATCGAACTTGGTCGCATCGATAGCGAGAACCAGCTTCGAGGACTGTTCATCGTTAGATCTAGGTGGCCATGTCGTGCGATAATGCTTGTTCGCGCGGTCCATTGTATGTACGATCGAGGCTTATATCGTGGAAAGTACATAGAAAGCTTGCGTTCGATTTAACGCAACATACTGTGATCGATTACGTCTATATATGTGCGATTATGCTTTTAATTATTCGGCCGATCGAGTTTTATGCCTCGATTTTATTATAAAACTAAGCGAGTTGCTGGTACTATAATTAGAACGGTTGATACGTACACGCTAGTTGTTAAAATAATTAATTTCTTTCCTAAATTTGAATGAATTGCTTAATTAATTAAAAAATGGATAGCTATATTGTACGAGATATTAAGATACAAACAAGTGTCAGAGCTAAAATGATGTTTGTCCTTACGTGTCATCTATTGCGTATTTAGTTATGAACACTAGCGTGGATTTCAGAATAATTTAGACAACTCGAATAAATCTGTTCGCACAAAGAGTGAGGGAAAAGGCGTCGAAAGGTACACGATAGGACGGGCTGCGTTTCACGACCGTAATGCTGATGTATGCTCGATACGTCGGTTGAAAGTCGCAGATAACTGTCGAGATTGTGAAAGTTCCTCTCTGTTCTGGCCAGTCGATAAGAGAAATTGGTGCTTTTATTGTCGTTCAGTAAACCATGTGAAATTCCGCTCCGCGTGCAGGCAGTAGCCGGCGAATGTTGTGCATCTTGCGATTATCCGTCGGTGGTTGCTTTAGGAGTTGGATTCTTAAGTAATTTAAAAACCGTCGACGATAAATTATATAAGGACCTCGTATACACATATGTGACCCTGTTTACATTCGATATCGCTCCTCTTTCGCGGGATACCGATAGTGAACGGAATGCGATACGTCTTTTAACTGCGCCGATCTGAGAAATTACATATGTTTGAGAATTTTTTTCTAACGAAGAGAATCTTTTTCAGATAATTTAATAGATTAATGGTTTTTCTGTCGTACAACCATTCAAAAGTGAATGCTTACACTGACCCCTTAACCGACTCACACGAAGTTATTTTAATTTTAAGTGTAACTTCTTTTTAAATTAATGACAAGGTACAATATCTGCTATTTAAATTTAAACCCGCTCACGATTAACAACAATCGATTCTCGATGTCATTTCCACTACTGGTTCAAGCCTAACACGAGATTCAACTGATCCTACCAATTAAAATCACCGTGCATGCTGTCACTGTTGCATAAAATTCAATTTTTATCGCTGCGACTGCAATGATCTAAATTGCTTTTCCCCGCCAGCTGCATATGAAAATTTCAAAAGCCCGAAGGTGTGGTGAAAATCGGGAATTAATTAAAAGTCTGTTGATAGATACTGTCATGCATGAGTAATATTCTATGTATTATTATAGGCAGCATGAATGAAAGAAAATTAATTCCTTGTGAAATTGACTTCTTTAAGACTTGAAAATAGCATTTGCAAAAATTTTATGGACAAGCACGTACACATTCACGAACGATGCCGACAATAAGCATTCAAAGTATTTCTATTCAATTTCAAACTTATGCGCTATGGGAGAAACACTTCTCGCAGATATCGAGAATCTTGTTGTATCGGTTGTTTTGAAGTGTAGACTTGATACGGAAATCGGTGGAACTTCAGACCACTTAATCGACGAAATGTCAAAGGCGAAAGGCTACATTACATTGCGATGCAAATGTAAGTACATACTGAAGTAACGCGTTATAATATTTAAATAAATCACGAGACGAGAACAGAGATCAAAACTCGACGAATGTTTCTAAAATAGAAATTTCCATAAACAAACGTGAATGTCGAAAATGCAGGAAGCGAGTAACTGATTACACGAGTTTCAGATAAGGAAGACAGATTATTTGATAACTACGAAAATTCTTCTAAGATCTTTATCTCCACAATTCCACGATCGGATATCACACGCGAGTTAAGCTGTTTCGCGAACTGTTTATCAATGTTACTTATTGATAATAATATAGACATGTCTCACAGGAATTTATCGCGGCAGTGCCAACAGGGACTGTCATTAATTAAATTAACAAGTTAATCCAGGTACAACAGCAATTAACAACTTTGATAAAAATAAACCATGGAAAACGTTGCACGCGCCGCAGCAATTGTACTTCGTAATTTTTGTTTTAACCACAAATAAACATTTAAAAAACGTCGACAATTTAGTCTGAAATATCTCCAAATACTATCTCAATTTTACGGATGTATTACAAAATTATAAAAAGAATAAATTGAAAAGACACTTCTACACGCTACTCACGTTTCCATATGCTACCAATTCGAGCATTTAGGGGACAATTAGCACTAAGCACCAAGCCCCTCCAGCGTTGATTTTGTCCATCAGACTTGACACAACCAACCCTAACTCATACTTCACGTTTAATAAACTCCGTGATACTTGCCCCAACCGCAAGATCAACTAAGTCCTACTCCACTCAAAAATTGGCTTTTCATACTCGTACAATAAACTTCAAATCGCAGTAGTGTTAAACAAAAATGGATGACTATCGTATAGACTTATTCAACGTCTCTAAGGAAAACTGCTGATAGGGATGACCAAGGGTGGTGAATACGTGTTCACTTCGAACCTACCATGAAACTGAGACAATGATGTTACCTAGATCATCGAAACGAAGGTGATAGAAATAACTAATGACGCGAATTCGTGCAAAGGATGGAAAGAAAGTTCTCTTGACTCTGCCATAAAATCAAAATAATTTGATGTCACGGTGCTAATTGCATTCTTGAGAATTAATTATTCGAAACAAAGATAAACGGTGGACCAGTGGAACGGAATACTTACCTTGACGAAATGCAGGTTCTCCTTGTCGAGGAGGAACTCCATGGATTTGTGTGGCCGTTGGTTGATGGTGGAGGCGGCGTCGTGGTCGCGGGGACTCCTGTGGGAAGCGGTGACGGGCGACTGGGGAACGTGGAGGGCGTGCTCCGGCCTGGGCCTAGGAGCAGTCGAGGTGTGATTCAAGTTGAGCAGACTCCTGGTCTTCTTGCCGGCGGTAGCGGCGGAGTTCGCGGTGGCGGCGACGCTCGTCGTCGTCGTCGTCGACGGGACGGCCTCGTCGAGGTCGGTCTCGAGCAGGCCGACCGGGCGCTCCTGGGCGGCCTGCATCGTGCGGGCTTTCGCCATCTCGATGGCCGCCGGATTTCCAAGGTCCGTGGCCGCGCGTCGGCGCGACGAACACGACGCCGCCGACGCACCCGTCGACGATCTCGAACCCAGCGCCCCGACGCGAGGCGGCTGCGGGGGCAGGGGTGGCTTGCTGGATACTGGCGCCCTCCCGTTTGCGCTACACAGAACAATGTACGATTAATTATGATTATTTTTTAATTGTTGACATTTCGAGATAACCATGAAACGAGGGAGAAGTATGTAACCGACGATTATGTCACTTTCTCGAACGATGGAGAAAGGAAATGCATTTTGCGATCAAATTGCTGCGTGTTCCATTATGAACACAGTGTTTCAGATGTAATTTTTTTAAATTACAACATTTAATCGAATCATTTAGCGCTTGCATAATTCGTCGTTACGGTTAGTATATCTGTTAATAAATGTGATCTTCGATGCGTGAAATTGTGCTGAAATGAGAAATTTCTCGTGCAGAAAAGAATGTGAAAACGGTTAATGTTTAGTGCAACTTGGCGGTTATTATCCGACTAGTCGACTACACAAATTCACTCCGTATACTATATAAAGTTCCATCACTGGAGCGAGCACGCAATTAATTTCAGAAAATTCCACTGTTTCCTGTTGCAATAAAACCTGTGTCATTAGCATTACTATTAGAAGTTGAATAAGACAAGATAGAATGCATAAATAGATTTTTCTACAGAAATCAATTTATTTCAGAGGGCATGGATTGTTAACTTCAAAAAATTAATTGTAGACATAGATAACAAAATCCTGATAATGGTATTAGCTTATTCATAACTTCACTCCAGTGAGAAAGTCGAAAAGCTAAGTACATCGCCGACAATGATGATAAAAAATTGTACACTGTTAATTAACCCGGAAAATACATCTGACAGTTTAACGTCGCTGCGTGCTTTGAGTTCTCCCAGTGAAACTTATTTCTTCTTATCAGAGGAATAGTAAATGGAAAAGAGTCAGCGAAACTTTAACATTTGCTACGTAACACTTCCCGCCGATCTTCAATGCTCGACTTTGAACTTCACCGTGCTCTACGCACACGGTTCAGCGAATTCCTAGCAGCTTTCACGCGATTCGATCATCAATCATTTGGCTCCCGTTACGCGTCAAGGAAACCGCGGAAGCGAGCAACCATAGTCTTTCAAAATCTAAAACACTGTTTGTCTTGCTCAATCGCTAAATAATGGTTCGTTCTTAAACGTTTATTTCTATAGCTCTTACAGCAGCTCTTTTTGGAAAAAAAAAAGAATTAGGAATTCCGGACGTTTAAAGTTAGACTGAAATAAAGAGAACAAATTTATCTTTAAGAGATAAGACATATGAATTCCATATTTAAATCACAATTTTGGTATCAAGCTCCTGAGAATTCAAGAATTGTCTACATCTTCGAATTTTAATTATGATTTAATTAATAGTAACGAGCAAGATATTTTTAATACAGGCTCATCTGTCTGGTATGTATTTTACTATCTAGCGTTAAATGCAGCGTCGTAAAATCTCGTTTTATACCTCGAGATGATTAATTCCTCGAGGGTGTGTTATTCCCACCGATAAGATATCGAAGCAGATGCAGTTATATCGGAACGAGAATGTAAAATGCCGTTTCAAAGAAACTTATAGGGACTTAAAATTGTTTTCAATCCTAATAAAACATGAAAGTTTTCGAACTCTTTTGTATCGTGCTTGAAAGAGAATTAATTTCACTGTTAACATGTACAGAATTACAATTTTTGAAGTATCAACATTTAGTAATTTAATGCATTTGCATCAATGAAATTGTACGCATTCGTGAGTTGAGAGAGAAACGACGCGACGCGACGACTTTTCCTGAACAGACAGAAGAGGAAGGAAGGTGAAGAAGAGAAGGAATGATTGAGAGCAATTGAGGCGGTCGCGGTCGTTCGATTCGGATCTGTCTGACTATAAGCACCCACTCTACTTTGCGACTGGCCGGCCAACCGCAGACGCTCATTCGGGTGCTTTAAACGCGCACTTAAAACGTCTCAATCTCTCGTCTGCAAAAATGCGAGCGCCGATTGTTTCTAGGGAAAGTGACTTCCATGATTGCGTTGCGTTACAACGGACAGACCGGGTTCTGTTACTCGTCGCGATTCGCGTAGTATTCGAATGTTTAAACGAGTCCGAAATTTATAATGGGTGGGCTCGTATATCTACGTATGTATGGGGTTTGTTTTAAAAACTCGACTGACATGAGTATAAACGGACGGTCATTAATAAAATACATTTCCGCCGATGGATAGCATAAGCGAACCTTTCATTGAGCAACTATGAAAATGTTCAATGTAATCCTTTGACTACTGCAGTTCATTATCTATGTTCGACGACTGAATATTACAACGTAAGAAACTGCTACGCGTAACAGAGACAAGAAAGTAGACATGCTACATCAATGAATCAAAATGATCAATTGCTCGATTGACATTTAAGATGATTGCACATTATATTCAATTTATTTTTAAAATGTTTAACGATATCATCAAGTGTTATTTCATAAAAGAGGCACATAATAACTTCAGTGAGAAAGTGGACTACCAGACCAAAAAAATGTTTAACTGGTTGAAATAGGTCTGATAATCTCTGACTTCCAGAATCAAAGAATGATCATTATACGATTTATCTTACTCTGTATCATTCTCTTTCACATGATTAAAATAACGTGATGGCAATGAAGTAAATTCCAATGAATAACACTTTTATAATCAACGATTAAGAGAGTATCAACAGATTATGTATTACATGCCATAATTGAAGCTACAAAACAATAAAACCAGAACGTGTATAATGAATTCTTTTGTTCAATAAATTAAAGATTCGAAAGTAGCAGAATCAGAGAATAGAAGACGTAACTATGTCATTCTAAATAAGAGGCACAAGTCGAAAGACGTGGATGGCAAAAAAAAACATCAGACCATTGGATGCCTCAGTGGTGCAGCTTCATTCTTGCGGCGCGCCGCGCTCTGAGATCATATTTATAAACGCAGTGTTGGAACAATAATGGAGAATACCTTCTCTAAAATTAGGTGATCACCGTGTAACGCTTTCGAAATCCGCACGTCGTTTTCAGTTCTGGAAATACCGTTCGGAAGCCAACGAGAAAACACTATAAAACACTTTCATGTTTTCACTTAATGACGGGGAAGAGGATTGTGCATTTCGTTTCTCGCGTCGGAATCCATCTATAGTATAAGTCTGACAAGAAAATGTTTTCACAGTTATTTCGACGTACGATATTAATATTAAAGCCTCAAATCATCGAGGATTAAAACAAGACTTTATATTCAGCTACAAAAGTTGCCATAAGAATCCTGAATCGAGAAAAGCAGCTATAAATTTCAAACAAACGTGAATCACAATGTGAGTAACGAAGAATGATCAAGACGAAGGTTTGGCATTAACATATGTGCACTCAGAGCCACATGTATTGCTAATCGACTTGTATTCTTTACTCCGTATAATGCGATGGTGACAATACTGTAAAATAGGCGAGTAAAATTGTAAATAAGCGCAAACGTATTTGTCGTTTATTTCTGGATCTAAATATCACTTCTCGAAGCATTTTTCATGAATAGAATTCGTATCAAGGCGATGGGATTACCATCTCCAATGGAATCATCGAGGGGAAGAGAAGTGAATTATATTTCTACTCTGTAGACGATGCTATGAACTCAGGCATGCGCGCTCACCGACTAGTCTATGGTTAAATATATACCTATATGTATGTAGGTGTACCGGCCTGAGGGGCCTTATTAATCTTATTTCATTCCAACACCAGTCCGGAAGTCGTTTGAGGTGGTCTGAGCACGTTGCCTCTAGTCGTTGCTCGTGCAATTCTCCCTAACCTTTTTTGCCTCTGTTTTCTCCTCGTTACATAAAAGAGCGTGGACAATGTTTCGACTCTGCACATTTTTTTTTCACTCGTTTTTTTGCTACAGCTGATTACCAATTATTATTTTTATTCTTCACCGTGAAACGGGAACGAATGGTTTTGTTTTTTGGAGAAGATTAAGTTTGAGAGTTAGTATTTTAGTAAATTATTATCAATTTTGCATACAAATTTCGTGGCTAAAATTACTTAATAAAAATGCAAGGGAATTTAATTTCAGTGCGACGTAAAACGTGATTTTGAGATGTAGCAATTGATTATGCAACTTCATAGCTAATATACATACGAAAAAAATAGGTAATTCAATATTCCTTATGAAGAGGCAGACACTTCCTGTTGTAATAAGCAACCTCAGCGTTATTTTTCGACAAGCGAAAAAAATTATTTTAATGGATAGACATTTACTTATTATAACTCATAATACACTTTAAGAAAGGAACTAACGTCGGAATAATAGTTACATTTAATAGACTGTATTGAAAAATATTTTTAATGTTCGATCAAATATGTACTTTTAATTCTCGGCACATTCAAGATGATTTTATAGAAACTCTAATCTCTAAAAATAGAAACATTCAATTGATTCGGTACGCGAGGCATTCCGAACACCATAACGTAATTTTAATGTTACACAATCATGGTATCAAGTTATCTTCATTGCCAGTACACAGAAACAGCCGGCGACACGTCACGATTACTTAACAGCTCGATAAAGTCCAGCGTTGAAGTCACACCTCAAAATATACGATCGTGTTCGCGCGGAAACGAAACGTATGGGAACCCTCTGCTAGACTCTATAAAGGACGTGTTATTGCTGGATCGCGGCCCATTTTCCAGGGTCTCATCAACAGCGTACCCGGATAAGCTCCAGAAACACGGCCAAGCGATGATTCTTAAAGAGACCTTTTAAATTACGATTCACGGTGATTCATCGTCGACAACAATACGCGCGAACAAACAGCCGTCGTCCGTTGAGTTTAGCGCTTTGCCAAATAAATTGGCAATCGTGGGACTAGAATGTTTGCAAACAGTATGCAGTGATCAAGTGTCGAAGAATGAGGAGAAATTTTTTGCGAAAACACAGAATGTTCCTTAAATGATGGTTCTATAAAAGCATTCAGTGATTTGTCATCGTTTATTTTGCTAAAGCGATCCAAATTGTCGAAAAAGAGAAAACGTTCGTAGAAACTTTCCACTTAGGGTGCTGAACTGTTTTAAAGTGAAAAACGTGCCACTGAAAGAGAGATCTGAAGCAGAATCAAAGCGGAGGCGAGCAAAGGAGCTGATTCGACGAAATTTCACGCGATAAAACGAATGTTCGCAAAAACTAAACAAGGGTGATCTGATACGGTTGTTGTTCCGAGAAACGGAGCCCAATTGCTGGCCAAAGGGTTGAGGGGCCGCATAAAAACCGGAGCAGATGGAGAACCGTGACGATCTCTTCGAGGGACTCGTTTTCTGAAATCGTTTCGGCTGAGACGAACCGCGTTGAAACGCGCAGGCCACTTGCGATCGTTCAACCACGAAGGAAATGAATCATTTAACGCGTAAGGGTCGTGGCAGAAATTAAGATTAATTGCCGGAGATGTCAAATCGAATCCTGCGATGATCCACGGAAATACAAGGAGGAACTATAAATTGCAGTGTCATTAGAAAGTGAACAATTCTCTACGGAGGACTCTAGTCAGAATGTTTTTAAGGTTCTTTAAAAGAGACTTTGCTATTGGTGAAAGTAATTTCTGGTTAGTTAATACGATCTTGGGACAAAATTAATATGGAAGAACAGAATTAAAATACAGAGAGGAGTGCCTTTTTCCTTATCAGATTACTTATATTCCTCCTACCTATGCACAAGTGCAAATACTCCTTTTGACGACCGAATATTTTTACCTTGAACTAAGAATACGTAGCTCTAGAAATTTTCGGAATAGGAACTGTATTGTATGTGTACTCAGAAATTTCTGAGGCATTTTAAACTTCAGAATATAAATGATGATATTGGTTCCTGGTATTTTTACATACTAAACAGATAATACTTTTCTAATTTCGTGTAGGTACTCTCTAATCTAATCTTCCGACATTATATAATTTCTAACGTCAAGTGCCCTCCACTTTCGTAGAACGAAAGACCCGTCGTGACTTTATGACATTTACTATACTACATAAACCCGCATGAGTTGCCCCTGTACTGTCATCAGGCAATAATGCATTGAGTAAGCACTTCCAGCTGTAAACACAAATAATCTTAACTTGAACAAGCCCAAATAATGAAGTTTATTCATTGTTTTATCTATCATTCCTAAAATTTAATAAAGACATCTTTCGTTTGTCGAGGCTAATGAGATCATCTTTGTGTATTTTGTCTATCGCCTATCCCTTTACATCCCGTATTTCCATGAAGAAATGATTTGTTAAAAACAGAGGAGCACGATTAAAGTCTGAACGACGCTGTTGCAGAACGCAATTAGGTCGAAACTCGTCAAAACGACAGGGTCGAGAGTGAAATTCAATTAAGAGGAAGCGAACTGACTCCGCACCCGGTTACTCGCGCTTAGGGGAATGCAACTAATCGAAGGGGGCCGTTGATCGGAATGCAACGAACGAGAGTGAAATCCTCATCGATCGGATAAGTGCGAAGCCTGATTAGAGAGGAATTAGTGGTGACACGCCATGCCATCGTGAAGACCGTCGATAAGTGACGCGTATGTAAATGGCACACGAATTTAGCGTTTTGATACGGGGCGTTGTCCCAAATCGAAATTAACACTTTGAACACGGGCATTCGGTTTACACACAAATTTTTTTATATTTGCTATTTAAATGTGAATTAATTAAAAGAAACAACGTATTCGTTATGTTTAAAGTTGCAACAGGTGCATTTAATACATATGCAAAAGCACGTCAAGTTCGTCTGGTTTTGGAGTATATAATTAAATAATAATATGATAATTGAGAGAAAAAGTCACGTGCTTTCGACTTTTGGTCGACTTAAAAATATTAAGACGAACGAGTAATCGAGAAGTGGGTGGAAGCACGCCACTCCGGCGGCTGTTCGTCGACTCTGGCCGCCATTACGAAAGCCTCGTTGCATCGGTATCGCTGACCTCGTTGCTGGTTACATGCTCGCGCATTAAACGCATCGCGGAAACCAATTCGTATGTTGTACACAAGAGTTACAATATTCAAAATAATTATGTATATTTCATGTACCTCAAATCTTGTAATTACATGTAATAAGCATAATGTACTGTGATAGATACCAATAAATTGTCAAATATCTTGTGACACTGTAATGATATCATTATTAATCACTATAGACATTGCATAAGCACGAACATGAATTGCTTGAAGATGTTATATGCAAATGTTGACAGTAATGCGACAAGCTTACACACAGAAAATCAAGGCTACATGTGTACCTACAGCTATTAACTACTTTTATAATCTACT